TTAAAATATTAATCATCAATAAAGACGACCTGACCCTTCAACTTAAATAAATTCGTGTTTATTTCTTTCATAGTTTATCATTTAAACTCCCTGTTAGCAAATAAGCTTTGTTATCCTAACGACGTAGTGTTTAGGCTTAACAGCGAACTCTTGATATAACGAATTTTTTGAATAAATATAATAAAAATACTCATGTTATAACAAATTGGCCAATCAAATCTCTTAAAATCTTCACTATAATCTTATAGCGAAGTTGAGGTCTAGGACATAGAATTCGTTATAACAAGAGTTAATTGTATAATAGTTTTATTTGATATTTCTATAATTAGTATATTATATTTATATCTTTTAAATATTAATCAAAATCAAAAATATATTTGATTATTTTATAAAAAATTCTTAATATATTTATAAAAGATTTAAAGAATAATATTTTAAATAGAATAAAAAATTATAATCATAACTATTAATTTAAAAAGTTATTAAATTTAAAAAAAATAATAAATAATTAGTATTAAGATATTTTTTCAGATAATATATATAAAGAAATTAGAAAAATTAATAAGGTTATTTTGATAATTACTATAATATAAATGAAAAGCTTTTTAGTTTTTTAATAGAATTTTAGACAATAAATGATTAATATTTTATTACATTTTTAGATAAATTATGTAATATAACTATATTAAAGTTAAAAGGTGTTTAGATATACATAATTAATATGATTATATTTATAACCTATTATGCTTATATTAAGTTATTTTTAATTAAAATTTTGAATGTAAAATCTTATTGACTATATAAATATATTTATATAGTAATTATTTTATAAAAGTATATTTGTATTTAATTAATCTTTTGATTATTTGTATAAAAATTAAAATGTAAATATATACTAAAAAGTAATAGAAGAATTAATATAAAAATTATGAAAATTAATAAAAAATAATAAAAAAATTAGTAGAAAAATTGTAAAAAATTCAGTAAAAAAAACATTTATATAATTAAATTAAGAGAAATTAATTTGTTTGATAAAATAATAATTAATTACTTAGCATAGATTTATTTTCGATTTACTTTGTATTTCTTTATATATAAATTTAATAAAGTTACTGGCAGTGCTACATCGTAAAAAAAAAAAAAAAAATAAAATAATAATTAATAAAATTATAACTATTTTATTTATATATAATACTTTTTTAGAAATAAATACTTTAAAGAATATTTAAAATATATTATAAAATTATAAAATATTATTTTAAAAATTAAGAATATATTATTTTAATAAAGTATTATTTATGTTTTAATTAATATATTTGATTAAAACTCAAAAAATAACTAATTATTTTTAAACTAATTTTTAATAGTTATTTTGTTAAAACTTTTAATAGTTTTTAAAAAAGTCAAATAAGAAAATTTAATTTAAAAATTTAAAGCAAAAATTATTAATATTCAAATAAAGTTTTATTTATTAAATCAATAAATTAAAATTATACTTAAATATATAATAGATTTATTTTAAATTATAACTAATATAATATAATAATAAAATTTAATGTAATTATATAATTAATTAATAATAATTATGATTGATAATATAACATTTTACTATTAGCTTTTTAATTTTACAAAAAAAATATAATTAAAATCTTAGAACAAAAAAGTTTTATTAATTTGATTATTAATATCTAATAATATGATAAGATTTATTAAAATATAAGAAAATATAATACAAACTAATAATAATAAATATTTAAAATTTTATCTTTTAAAATAGTAGATTTAAAAGTTTTTTCTTTACATTAAAATACTATATATAAAATTATTAAACAAAATTTAAAATTTAGCAAAATTTATATTACAATCTTATTAAAAATCAGTAAAACTCGGAAAAGGTAAAACTATATCAAAGCTTATAAAATACAAAACTATATCAAAACCTTAGTAAAAAATTAGCAAAACCAAAGTTTGACATTTTGCTAATCCAAATGAATTTAAATAAACAATCTTAACTATATATATAAAATATATTAATGATGATACAAATAATTACTAATTATAAAATTATATAAATTTATCTAATATAATCATTTTATTTGAATATTCTATTTAATGATAAATAATATATTTTATTATTTTAATTACTTTTCATTTGAAATAAAAGAAAATAAATAAGTTAAAAGATTATTAAAAGAAAATGAATTTCTTTTATTTGAAAGGTATATAATGAATTGATAAACATAATGATAAGAAAGAACAGAATATAAAATCAAATTCATATAATATATCAACATTAATTAAATTATGATAGCATATAAATTATATAAATTTTATGAATTAACAATTTAATTTAAAAATTATTACTTTATTATATACGGTATAAAATTTTTATATTTATTATTATGTAAAAATTTTCTTAGTTAACTTGAATAATATATTAATAAATGTAAATATTATTACTAGTAAAAAGTAATTTAACAATATTTTTGTTACGCTATAATCTATGTGTAAAATTTTAATAAAACGTTAGTTATTATGTAGAATATTTCAATCTGAGCTAATTAATCCAATAATAATTGGTTTTTTGGTATTTTTTTTTTCTTTAATAATTAAATGAAGCTACTTGCAAGAAATTAACATATTTATTATGTAGTATTTTCCAATCGGAGCTAATTAACTTCAAAAATACATTTGATTACGGCGTTTTGTTGTGATAAAATGAAATTTATCCTTCAATTACAGTTGATTCAAAAATAAAAAGAAACAAGATTTATTATGTCCGAACGAAACGAAGGAACGGATTTTATTTTATCCAGTGAAATCGAATCAGAAGAAACTGGGTTTAAATCCATACGTCAAATATAGGTTCTAAACTCTAGAGTTCACCCCAAATCTCATGCTCACGTTTTTATACCCAAGTTTCTATAATGACAATTACGATATATCTCGGGTTCTTCGTGGCTGAGTAAAGAATGATTTTGCCGGAATTGGTATAAGTTGATTCACATACCCAAAATTGGGTCTGTCAAAAAAATTTGACAATCAGATATGCTGGTGATTATTAATACAAAAAAATAAACCGTGTTAACCATTCTTTATTTTTTGTTAGGATATACTATTCTGAAAGCAGATTGGGCGAAAGAAAAACAGAATGATAGTTAGTCTAATGCGTACGACATACATTTATATTTTATTGGACAATATATTTCGGTGGTATAAAAAGAGTTTCACATAATCCTCCTTAACTTTTATAACGGAAAATAAAAAATAATAAACACTACGAATCTTTTTATAATTTAACAAATTAAGCTAAATTTTTATTTATTTATTTATTTATTTATATATTATTATTATTTTTTTTTTTTTTTTCTTCTTTTAATTTTGTGATTTCAATTTTGGATTCGAATAAATTAATCCTTGTTTTTATGAAATCGATTAAATTCAATTAATGGATAATATTACCTTTTTTCAATAAAAAAAACATTATCATCATGTTGCGATATTTTATCTTTGCAACAAACCCTTTGCGATAAACCGAAGGAAATAAAAATGACAACTCATTCCTTGTTCGGATTTCTATCAAGAACAAAGCAGGAATATCATTAATTAAAAGAAAGTGACGAGAATATAAGACGATAGAATAAAAAGGATTTGCTTAAAACATACCAATGAAATGGAGGGTTACTAAGTGTGAAATCATCCAGACCTTGATCCGGATATGAATACATGGCAAAGCCCTCAATCATTAAATCGTCAAGAGGGATAGGCTCATAAGGTCTGAACTCACAATCAGGACAAAACCATTGTCCTGACGGTTGTTGTGTAAGACCTACACAATCCCAGTGATACCACGCATTCTCACACTGATTGTATAAATTTTTCAAAAATGAGTAAATCGTAATAATGTAGTCATCAAAAAATATATAAATTAAAACTTACTCTAGGATGATCACATTGGATCATATTACCAAATTCTTGCTGTTAATGTAAATATAAAACATAAGTTGTCATTAAGTACGTAATACGATATATTAAATATCAAAAATAAATAAATAAAAAATTATCAAATTAACTCGTCTGCAGAAACAATATAGAGGTTCGCTTGGATCGAATTCCATATCACTAAAATCATCACTGTTAATTTGAAATCAAGAGTTCCAAAATTATTATCGGGCAACTGAATTAATCAAAAAAAAAAAATTGTTAAACGAAATATACTTACTCTGATGAAATTTTACAAATTTATTTTGATTTGTCAATAAAAATTAAAAGTTAATGGGGAAAGGTTGCCAGTAAATTAATTATGAGCACCAATACAAATAAATACTCACGATCTAAATTTATATTGTTTCGGGATAGTTCGTCATCTAGCCTTTCAAGGTGTCTAGAGATCTACATTATAATTTAATATAATATGTCACAAATATGTAAATAATTTTTGAAAAATTAACAAAATTGGTAATACTTTACCAGGCTATACAGCTTATCTGCAACTGCAATTTTTTCGTCCTGTTTGTGTAGGGCATCATCATAGGCCTTCTGTCAATCATTAGTGATAAAATAGGGGGAGATATAAATTAGGGAATATTACCATATTAAGACCTTACATTATTAATTGCTAAGCCACATTATCACAACCGTGCCACCATATGCCACGTGTCAAATACGGCAATTATAAACCTGATATAAAAACTCTGACAAACTGCGGGGGAACCTTTTTTTTTTC